TATTGTGTTGTTGTATTAGTATCGAACTCTTTAGACCAGTTGAGAGTCGAGACTAAAAACATATCGGTTTGAAGATTTTTTTTTTCAATTTGATCTATCCATTGACCATACGACTTACTTAAAATTCAATCCGTTCAAAACACAAAATAGTTTTTATAGAATACATGTTATTCATCAGTAATATGGTATTATTTCAATTAATTATAATAGTTTTAGACATGTTTTCAACTTAAAACATAAAAGAATGAATTTATGATATTTTTATATATTATTTAATTTTTTCTTAACGTGGAGTCACATCTTAATTGCTAAAAATTGGTAACTAATATCACTCGAATTTTAAATTAATTGTGGGTACATTGTACTTAATCTATGTTTTTTATTATTATTTTCATCTAGAATATTTATCTCAATATATCCTAGCACACTTTTAGAATCCATGCCAAACTAATAATCTTTAATGGGTTCAGACCCAGATTTTAATTCCTAAAATAGGTAGCCAATATACCTCTGGTTTGGATTAATTGTGGATACATTGTACTTAATCTATGGTTTATTATTATAATTATTATTTTCGTTCTAGAATCCATGCCAAACTAGTAATCTTTTAATTTCAAATGGATCTTGGTTCATCTAAGATCCATAATTTATTCAATAAAGAAATGAGCTAAAATATTATATAAGCTATAATAGATCTACGGGAAGCATGTTCGGAGAGTTAAAACGAAGGTTTATTCTTAAACCAAAGCATTTCGGAATCATCGCATAATGCTAAGATCCACTTTCTCTCTTTTTGTTAAACAAAATTGGAATAGAGAATATATAAAGTAGAATGGAATATATAAAGTTGTTAAAATTCCCTACTAGTATATAATAAGGAGCTTCTTTCACAACTCATTGGTGGAGAAGAAAAAGACAAAGTCATCAACATATATATAGAGAGAGGCATTGTTCACCAAAATTAAAATATAAAAGACTCATTTGAAATAGGTAGACATATATAGATGCATATGGAATGGAGAACATTTTATCTGGATGTGACGCTTATACCCTTAGGGTTACTCATAAACCTTATCTACCATGTTTGGTTATGGTACAACGTAAGGACACAACCTTCCTTAACCATCTTCGGAATAGATGCCGATGGCCGCCGTTTGTGGATTCCTGCCATTATCAAGGTATATATATGAGTTTTTACATATTGTAAATTAATCAAAAATCATTCTCTTCATATAATTTTCAAGTTTTGTTGTGTATATGGAAGGATATTGAAAAGAAGAACATTGTAGCAGTGCAAAGTGTTCGGAACATGATGATGGGATCGATCTTTATGGCGAACACAAGCATTGTTCTGTGTTGTGGGCTTTGAGCAATGATAAGCAGCACTTACAGAGTGAAGAAGCCTCTAATTGATTCAGTTTACGGAGGACAAGGCGAATTCGTTGTGGCACTAAAATATGCAATCATCTTTACAACTTTCTTGTTCTCTTTTTTCTTTTACTCTCTATCAGTTGGGTTTCTCACCCAGTTGAGCATCCTCGTTTGCTTACCACAGCATGTCATCAGCTTGGTTACTCCAGAGCATCTGACTGATCTATTGAGAAAAGCTTCAATTTTCAATATTGTGGGAGACAGACTTTCACACACAGGACTTTTCCTTCTTCTATGGATCTTTGGACCTGTCATGGCATTCTCCTGTTCTGTTGCCATGTTGTTGGTGTTTCATAAGCTGGACTTTGTTGTTTTAAAATAAACTATCTTTAGTTATTGTTTTAATGTATGATGCACAATTAAAGTCATTACTATTTATAATAAAATATAACCGTAATTACTCAATTACATACAAAAAGTCACAAGTATCATTTGTTATTCTCTCTAATTATACTATCACGTTTAAAATTAAAAAAAAGGAAATTAATTGAATTAAAGAAAAAAATTATAATTTTTTTCAGTGAACTAATTCATTTGACCTATTAATATGTTATGGGTTGGATTGAAATCAAATTTTTTAATCTCATGAATAGTTGAGTTAAATTGATTTGAATCACTAAATAATTCACTTGTTGTTTTGACAATTAGATTGAGTGATCTCTTTTAACAGTTCTAATAACACACCCTTTGAACTAGGTTTTCAAGTTTGACTTGAAAGTTGTATTACGAGAAGTATTCTGCAAAATCTCACTCGACTTGTATTATATGATGATACAAAATTTTTAGGACTATTTGATAATTTTCTGAGGCTTAGGGGGTACATTTGAATACAGAAATATTTTATAATTCGAAATTCATCTATGGATTTGAGAAAATGCTTCCCGTAGTAGCAACTTTATTCTTGATAATTGGTAGTGCATGGCCAGCCTAATATTATTCTTCCTAAGTCTATGGCTTACATAAATTCCACCTTTTCATAGATCCCATTAGAATACTCTAATAAAATACCCTTTAGGGTACTCTAAATTTGTACCTACAACCCTGTAATACAAGTTTTAGGATTCATTCATCAGTGAGAGATAAGAAGTTGCATTCTTTTTTTTTTTTTTCTGGTAATCCAAGCTTGCATTTAGACATGTTTAGAAAAAATTTCTCTCCCTCTACATTTTCATTTTAAAGATACCATTCTTATGATTTTATATTTATATCTTTATTGTGTATGTTGCTTTATTTTTATCATTCAATAAGACTATATATTATAAATAAAATATTTTGAAGTGCTCTAATCTTTACATGATATTTATTATAGAAATTGTCATGGTAAGCTTACTTTAATTACATTTTTCTAACACCGAGCATAATATTTGCATATAAAAGATAGATTCTTTTTTTACCTATTCAACCAAACAATATGTCTAACCAAACTCCAAATATTACAAATAAAAATTCAAATTATAAAAGCTAAGTCAATAATTGTATTATGTCAAAGAGTACATTATAATTTTATGGGACTAAACCAAATTTTATGAGACACCATTTATGCAACACTTATTAAAATACTGCTACCTANATATATATATATATATATATATATATATACACTAGTGTACTAAGTGACACTATGAGAATAATTCCGCAATTCATCTTAACCCAAAGAATTAAAAGGTCACAAGAACTACATTTTCCAAATGTAGAGTTATGTTTTTATCTTAAAAGGTTATCATATCTCGAAAAACATTAGTTTAAGCACAACAAGTTTTTTGTAATTAAGAATATTTGTGGACATCTGAAAATCTGATGGTAGTACTATAGTAATAAATGTAATAAGTTATAAACCAACATGCATGGTAGGTACACTTTGCCTGCCAAAGAAAAAAAATGAGGAATATTATGGAACAAAAATTATCGTGAAGATTCGATAGAAATCGAACAAAAAACTAAAGATTCCTTTTTTAACCGTTTTTAAATGGTTTAACAAAAAATTGAGCTGAATATTCTACAAAGTATTTGTTGGATTGTTCCTTAATTTTGTTCTCTTCAAAGTAAACACTGAGATTCTTTACATAGATTTAAAAAATATTAGGGAACCAAATTCCATTAAATAATGTGAGTGGTATGCTTCACACATACAGTGATGTCATGTTAGGTGTGTAAAGGACAAATTTGCGAATATGTAACATGGACGTCCTTTGGAACAATAACCAACATAATGTCATAGGAGAAAATTGAAAATTCCTTATCATTATACCTAAAAAGTTTTTCTAAAAAAAAAGTTATGTTGATACAAATTTCTTACTTAACATTTCAGTAGTTCGAGTTGTTAATTATTTTCACTTTTATTCCGGTTGTAAAGTTGAAAGATACCTATAAAAGAAATTTCGATATTTAAGTTATTGTTTAGTTATATCAATTTTAAAAAAAAACATATAATAAAATATTAAAAAACTCACATTTGATAATTACTTATTTATAAGGTTGATTGGTGAGTGTTGTATTAATTATGATTTAATATTAACACAAACATGATTTAATTATGTTTATCTTAATTATTCCGTAATAACTTTCATAATATTATTGTGTTGTTGTATTAGTATCGAACTCTTTAGACCAGTTGAGAGTCGAGACTAAAAACATATCGGTTTGAAGATTTTTTTTTTCAATTTGATCTATCCATTGACCATACGACTTACTTAAAATTCAATCCGTTCAAAACACAAAATAGTTTTTATAGAATACATGTTATTCATCAGTAATATGGTATTATTTCAATTAATTATAATAGTTTTAGACATGTTTTCAACTTAAAACATAAAAGAATGAATTTATGATATTTTTATATATTATTTAAGTTTTTCTTAACGTGGATCTTAATTGCTAAAAATTGGTAACTAATATCACTCGAATTTTAAATTAATTGTGGGTACATTGTACTTAATCTATGTTTTTTATTATTATTTTCATCTAGAATATTTATCTCAATATCCTAGCACACTTTTAGAATCCATGCCAAACTAATAATCTTTAATGGGTTCAGACCCAGATTTTAATTCCTAAAAAAGGTAGCCAATATACCTCTGGTTTGGATTAATTGTGGATACATTGTACTTAATCTATGGTTTCTTATTATAATTATTATTTTCGTTCTAGAATCCATGCCAAACTAGTAATCTTTTAATTTCAAATGGGTCTTGGTTCATCTAAGATCCATAATTTATTCAATAAAGAAATGAGCTAAAATATTATATAAGCTATAATAGATCTACGGGAAGCATGTTCGGAGAGTTAAAACGAAGGTTTATTCTTAAACCAAAGCATTTCGGAATCATCGCATAATGCTAAGATCCACTTTCTCTCTTTTTGTTAAACAAAATTGGAATAGAGAATATATAAAGTAGAATGGAATATATAAAGTTGTTAAAATTCCCTACTAGTATATAATAAGGAGCTTCTTTCACAACTCATTGGTGGAGAAGAAAAAGACAAAGTCATCAACATATATATAGAGAGAGGCATTGTTCACCAAAATTAAAATATAAAAGACTCATTTGAAATAGGTAGACATATATAGATGCATATGGAATGGAGAACATTTTATCTGGATGTGACGCTTATACCCTTAGGGTTACTCATAAACCTTATCTACCATGTTTGGTTATGGTACAACGTAAGGACACAACCTTCCTTAACCATCTTCGGAATAGATGCCGATGGCCGCCGTTTGTGGATTCCTGCCATTATCAAGGTATATATATGAGTTTTTACATATTGTAAATTAATCAAAAATCATTCTCTTCATATAATTTTCAAGTTTTGTTGTGTATATGGAAGGATATTGAAAAGAAGAACATTGTAGCAGTGCAAAGTGTTCGGAACATGATGATGGGATCGATCTTTATGGCGAACACAAGCATTGTTCTGTGTTGTGGGCTTGGAGCAATGATAAGCAGCACTTACAGAGTGAAGAAGCCTCTAATTGATTCAGTTTACGGAGGACAAGGCGAATTCGTTGTGGCACTAAAATATGCAATCATCTTTACAACGTTCTTGTTCTCTTTTTTCTTTTACTCTCTATCAGTTGGGTTTCTCACCCAGTTGAGCATCCTCGTTTGCTTACCACAGCATGTCATCAGCTTGGTTACTCCAGAGCATCTGACTGATCTATTGAGAAAAGCTTCAATTTTCAATATTGTGGGAGACAGACTTTCACACACAGGACTTTTCCTTCTTCTATGGATCTTTGGACCTGTCATGGCATTCTCCTGTTCTGTTGCCATGTTGTTGGTGTTTCATAAGCTGGACTTTGTTGTTTTAAAATAAACTATCTTTAGTTATTGTTTTAATGTATGATGCACAATTAAAGTCATTACTATTTATAATAAAATATAACCGTAATTACTCAATTACATACAAAAAGTCACAAGTATCATTTGTTATTCTCTCTAATTATACTATCACGTTTAAAATTAAAAAAAAGGAAATTAATTGAATTAAAGAAAAAAATTATAATTTTTTTCAGTGAACTAATTCATTTGACCTATTAATATGTTATGGGTTGGATTGAAATCAAATTTTTTAATCTCATGAATAGTTGAGTTAAATTGATTTGAATCACTAAATAATTCACTTGTTGTTTTGACAATTAGATTGAGTGATCTCTTTTAACAGTTCTAATAACACACCCTTTGAACTAGGTTTTCAAGTTTGACTTGAAAGTTGTATTACGAGAAGTATTCTGCAAAATCTCACTCGACTTGTATTATATGATGATACAAAATTTTTAGGACTATTTGATAATTTTCTGAGGCTTAGGGGGTACATTTGAATACAGAAATATTTTATAATTCGAAATTCATCTATGGATTTGAGAAAATGCTTCCCGTAGTAGCAACTTTATTCTTGATAATTGGTAGTGCATGGCCAGCCTAATATTATTCTTCCTAAGTCTATGGCTTACATAAATTCCACCTTTTCATAGATCCCATTAGAATACTCTAATAAAATACCCTTTAGGGTACTCTAAATTTGTACCTACAACCCTGTAATACAAGTTTTAGGATTCATTCATCAGTGAGAGATAAGAAGTTGCATTCTTTTTTTTTTTTTTCTGGTAATCCAAGCTTGCATTTAGACATGTTTAGAAAAAATTTCTCTCCCTCTACATTTTCATTTTAAAGATACCATTCTTATGATTTTATATTTATATCTTTATTGTGTATGTTGCTTTATTTTTATCATTCAATAAGACTATATATTATAAATAAAATATTTTGAAGTGCTCTAATCTTTACATGATATTTATTATAGAAATTGTCATGGTAAGCTTACTTTAATTACATTTTTCTAACACCGAGCATAATATTTGCATATAAAAGATAGATTCTTTTTTTACCTATTCAACCAAACAATATGTCTAACCAAACTCCAAATATTACAAATAAAAATTCAAATTATAAAAGCTAAGTCAATAATTGTATTATGTCAAAGAGTACATTATAATTTTATGGGACTAAACCAAATTTTATGAGACACCATTTATGCAACACTTATTAAAATACTGCTACCTATATTCCCTAGCATAAGATTTTCTTTCATAGGAGTTCAGTTATCATTTATAGTACCATCTTTTCTATTTATTTTGTACTTCTTCATAGTGAATAGAGCTCTTTTTTTAAGTGATATAGTTTCAAGAAACCTTTATAGAAGTTAGATACAAACATTATTTTCAGTGTTTTATATCATTCTCTCTTCTTTTTTATATATAGAAGTGTATGTGATATGATATAAACAAAGTCTTATATCGGATAAAACAAGATATAAACATAAATTTATATACAAATAAAATACTTTCTATAATGAAAAGTTTTTTGATATGATATTATAAAATTCATGAAAACTTGGTTCAAAGTGAATAATATCTTACCATTCTAGTTCACACATAATTATATTATATCTCTATATACTACTTATTATAAACACAAGTACAGAAGAAATTATTAAATATTTCTTCCACCATTTCGCACATAACAAACATAAAGTTATCTATTTGGATGCCTCTTTCTCCTGACTTAACTTTCGGTGTTATTTTGTTCAACATAACTTTTCTTATACAACATGCATTGGTATAATGAAAAAGCTGTACCAGAATAAATTTGTGTCCTCTCCTTTGAAATTGATTTTCCTAACTATGTATTAATATCTGGATTGTAGAGTTTTCAATGGAGTTGGCTTTCTAAAAAAGACAATTATTTGTTGACCTATAAGGTTTATTTTTTTATATTTTCTACACTTTTTTACGTAAGTTGATTTTTAACCGAGACTTTTCTCACTCAAACCACTCCTTTTACATTTAAAATTTCATACTCAAGCACTAAGATGACCTTTCTTTATCATAGAATTCTCATATAACCTAGAGAATTTTTTACCACGGTTGATCCCTATTGCTAGGGTTTTCCCAACGTATTTACCTTTTGTTCAATTTATATGTTACATTTATATCAAATCAATTTGGTATATCCTCTGAAATCTCAACCTCCTTTAATCCTTTCACCGTCAACAATCATATTTGAAATCACACTTCCAACATTTGCTTTCACAAATCTTTGTTTTTATTTTTTGCAAGTCGCCACTTCTATTTTACGACTAGTGTTTCGTTGAAAACTTTCAAGTATTTTATTTTTAGCCCATCATATTCTCTTGTTTTATAGATTGCGTCTCACTTCATCGATATAACCTTTCTCCCTTCACTTCCTCAACTCTGCAATAAGTTCCTTTACATTTCCCTTATATCCTTCACCACTGAATTTGGCATTTTGAGAAAGAACATAAAAAATAAAATAAAGAAAAAGTCAATATAAATTTTTTTATTAGACTAATGATATCAAAAAAATTTCATTTTATTAACCTCTTGTTTTTTAATCACAATATCTCACATCATATACTTTATAAAATTACCTCTTATCGACATTTCGAAGTGAGAAAACAAAAAAAGCTATCTTTCTAGTGAAGAATAGTCGCATGTCTTATGACAAACACTTTGTTCGAGAGAACTTTGATGACCTTTTTATCGTAACCACCAAATTCTTTAGTTTTGTAGATTGTGTCTCACTTTATCTATCCAATTTTCCTTACTTAATCTAACACTATAATATCTTATATTTTCCTTTACTACCAAACTTAACATTTGAGGAAGAACATAAAAAAAAGTAATGATATTTTGATATCCAAAAATATTTTAATATACTTTTCATTTTTTTTATAAATACAAAAAAAGATGATATTTTTGACACATAAATGTTTTACATTCATTTAACATTATTCTTTCTTACTTTTTACTCTTTTCTTTCTTAAAAAAAATACAAAAATTCATTCTTTTTATGACTATTTTACTTTTGTATTATGTGTCAAATAAATCAAAAAGTGTGTAATCATACCATTATTCAATACAAAAATACATTTTTTTATGATTATTTCCTATAATATGTTGTCAAATGAATGTAATGTGTGGAAAAATAACATTATTTTGTAATAATTTGACACACACAAATTTTTTATATTCATTTGACATTACTTTCATTATTGTTTTTATTTTTACAAATACAAAAAGACCACTCTTTTATAACTATTTTACCTGTACAATATGTGTCAAATGAATATCAATGTCATCCTTTCACCCTAAAAAAAAATAAAGAGAAGAGTCTACATAACCAATATTATTAACTTTACAAATTTTTATTTTGTTAACCTCTTAATTGTTTTTTAATCACAATATCCCATCATGTACTTTTTACAATATTAACCTCCTACAACATCCCGAAGTGAGAAAAAGAATGTGCATCTGTCCAAAATTAAGAATAGTGTTGCATATCTTATGATAAACGCTTTGGTCGAGTGATGAAATGTTTCCAACCACCACAAAATGGTGAACTCATACATGTTGAAGTGCAATGTTTTTTTATCAGAAAATGAATATTAATCCGTTTACATATGAAAATTTACATAGTCTTAAATTGTTGCCCACACATGATACCATTCCCAACAAAATACATACAAGAGATATTCATTTACGTGTACAGAACCCTCACATTATGCATACCAACCCCACCAAACAGTTGCAGAATTTTTGCTGTTGCGAGCATTGATCCTTCATCATCTGCATAATAATAAGCATTGACTTTATAAACAAGTTCTTCAACTAAGTGGTTTTCTTTTATACCGATTGAGACACATTGGACTT